TGTGTGTGTGTGTGTGTGTGTGTGTGTGTGAGATGAAATCCTAATTAGAAGGTGAAATCACTACCCTCTAATCTTTTCACTCTGGAGAGCTGCGCTTAGATTTGTGTGTGTGAGGAGGGATTTACAAATGAAGGTTATTGGCAGGTATCTGAACTGCACACACACACAAAATCCATAGATGGCTGATTTTAGAAGAGGCAAATAGAAAAAACAAGCACTGAGTCACCCACACTATAACATGTTTAAAAAATGTCTAACGCTATCTGGTGACAGTATTTTAATATTTCGACTAGTTTAAAGTACGTGTTGGCCATTTGCATCAGGTAATGATGCTTCAGGTACAAAAACTGACAATAATTTTAGGGTTACATTATATTTAAGATGCGTGTGTCGGACTCGTAACAGTTTGTTGACATTAAATAGAGTAAATACAGGATTTTGAGTTTTGATGATATATAGATTAGCAGAGTTGAGATAAGCACTGTACTTAAAAATAATATCTTGAATTATATATAATGTGATACTGAGAAGATTTAAGAGTGGGCGGCTGTGTGAAATGATTTTAAAGAGTGTTTGTGATACAGCTGCAGAGGAAGAAAAAACATAAGTAAAGGAAGACATGAAGGCAGCAGAGTGTGTGTGTGTGTGTGTGTGTGTGTGTGTGTGTGTGTGTGTGTGTGTGTGTATGTGACAGAGGAACATACAGTACACTGGAGCGCCCTGACCCTTTGAGGCAGTTGCTACACAAAGCTTTACGGTCAGAGAACATCACTTGCCAGATGCTCTCTGAAGTGCGGCTGCATTCTCCCTCGCACGTCGACACACTTGCGATAGAATAAAGATTAAAACAACAACCTACAAGTACAAACAGGTTGGACAATATTTAAAATAACATCCCTGCAAACGCGAGTCAGGACTGCAGACGAGGGACATGTAAGAGAAACATGTTTGCAAGGTGTGTCGCCAGTTTCAGATCCATTGTGGATTTTCTGTGCTTTCCCTTCTTTTAACAATATCACGTCAACTTCAATTCTTAATCCTGTCTCGCTGTCGGAACGCTGTGAAGCAGATGATGACTTTATGACTCTGCAACACCAAAAGAACACTGAGACTGACAGTTTTCTCACTCGTGTTCTCTTACAGCCCATTTGGATTTATTCATCTCCACCACATTTGCATGTTTATGTCTCAGAGCAAATGGGACATATGATCCAAAGCCGCAGAGCAGATCGAAATGCAGCAGCAGCAGCACAGGAGCACACACTGCACATGGGGAGTTATAAAATAACTGCTTTAGCCGGGGAGGTTGATTGAAGCAGGAGAGAAGGAGGTGGAGGAGAAGGAGAGTTTTATGACCTTGTAAATCAGAGGGAATTTGTAAACCCCAGCGCAAAGAGGAAACAGCAGAGGCGGTGGCGGCTTTCTGGCGGCAGGGGGGGGTAAGAAAGCTTACTGGCAGAGACACACAACCGCAGAGACACACAACCGCAGAGACGCACAGCCAGGCAGTAAATACAAAAAGAAACCTGCTGCTAACTTGCAACTGATGCCACTGCTGTGTCTTAATGAGGGCTCGCATTACTCCCTGGCAACATTTAATAGGTATGAAACAAGAGAAGCAGTTCAATATATTAATACTGACTTAATTAAAGCTTCCACATGTTTGATCAATATTAATCGCTCTAAATTAACAATTCACAGCAGCTCTGGGAGGCCGTGCAACAGCTCCGTGGTGCTTTGAGCTGAAATGCTGAGGTCATGCTCAACATGAAAGCAACACGATGTAACTTTCTCCTCTGAATGAAATAAAAACACACCTGAACAGTGGATATTACCCATGATCCCCTGCTTCCTGAACCAGTAGAGCTGTTGCTCTAACAAATCCACCAAACTTAAATTAGACTTCTTGACATATTTAAACTTTTCTGGACATTGGCGATAAACGCTGTCTTTATAACTCATGGACACTTCTGGATTTTGGCTCTTTAAGCTGTGACAGATTGTGCCTGTTTACCGAAGTGGTTGCTTGAACAAGCTGATGTTTTGCAGGTATATTTGCCTTGTTAGTTTCGAGTGTTCTCATGCTAATGTTTGCCGATGTGCACAAAAACAACAATTCAACTACTTTCAGATCTCACTATTCAAATGAAGCTTTGTCAAAAGTCGGGAACTTCTGTTTTTTCATGTTTGGCCTTTGTTCGTTCCTCTGTAGGTGAATGTCTAATATTATTAGCTCCTCTATTTTTTTCCCTGTCACTTCCTCTTTGCCACTTTGTCAAAATCTCAACATTCACAACTTCGACGTCGCCACATTGACCCTGTTCCTGTGCACATTGCCTGAGCCAATTAGATGCTTTTCTTTAAATGTCATTGCATTTCTCTCATTCTGTCTTTCAGAGCATAAGATCCAGGATGTCTAGTGAGTCACAAATGAAAGTTTCCACCATCCATCATCCATCTGCTGGATCCACCGCACCACCGCCAGCACCGACACTCTGTGCAGATCCCGTCTCATCTCCTCTCTTCAGATTATAGATTTATATTTGAAATTGATCGCTCCTCATCAAATTTATTTCATATGCATATTTAATATCTTTAACATCACTAATCTACTGTGTAAATAAAAGCATTAATGTAGCAGGAAGTATAATATACAGGTGAAGACAGGAAGTGTGTAAACGTCTGGTTCTTTCTTTTGAATTCCCTTATTATGAGGAGCTGTCATGCCCCCTTTTGTTAAATGGGGATCAACAAACCTGACATGTGAGCGTACAGCATTTTTCCATTTTATCATTAAACCTCTCTCTATATGTTCGTACAGGGACACGCAGCTCCAGGGCTGCGTGCAGATTTTGATGTTTCAGCGCTTTATCTTGACAGGTAGCTGCATCAAAACACAGGGGACGGAGCTTATTAATGTTGCTTTACAGCACATTTCAACTGAAACCATCAACTTCTGCCTCCACCTGAGACGCTGCGTTTAATAACAACACTGGTGCTTGTGTTCTTTCTTTCACATGCATTTTGATGATGATCACTGTGCGTTGTTATTCTTTAACTTTAATGTTCGTCTCAATAGGGATTGTGCCCTGCAGGTCAACAATGAAAGGTCTGCTGCAGAAACCTGAAGAGGCAAGGAGAGCTTCTTGCCTCATCAGGATTCAGGCAGGTGCACTTGGTTTCAACTTACCCGACCCTCAAACCGCCTTCGACATCAAACATCAAACGCACCTCACATCGTCTTCACATCTGAAATTATTTCCAACTGACAGACTCTGGGGCTCCGAAACTAGAAGCTTGTCAGTCAGGACGAAAATACACTTCACCCATTCATCTGAGACGGAGGGAGAATCATTCCCCCGCACAGAACACACACACACACACACACTTGTACATGCAGAGCACATCATACGCAACTCAATGCAGTGATGTGATAATGTTGAGTCAGTCAGCGATAATGGTACTGGTTCATTTTAAGCGTGGTGATTTGCACAAGGGCACTTTAGCAATACTAATCATCTATCAGGGCTTCCAGGTTCCCAGTGATCTGTCTCTCTACAATACAAAACCCTCTTTGACGATGAGTCCGTCTCCACTGAGTGAATAATTGGGGATCGTCATCAAATGTAAAAAAATGATGACAGCTCTTCAGCATTTCCTCTACTGATATAATGTCGTGGTCAGAGTTTACATCCGAACAGCTTCAGGCTTATTTATGCTGCCTTTACATACGAAAACAGATTTGTCTGTGTCCAACGATGTAACTGTCACTGCCAACTTCCTTCCATTAATGTTGGCAAGGTTGTTAAGCAATACATCTACTAGAGGGCAGCGCCGGGTCGAACAAACATGTTGATGGTGGAGGGGATGGAGATAATGCACCTCTTTGTTTGTCTTACTATATTCTTGGTTGAATTTCTTTCGTAGCTTTTAGAAGATGTGCACAGTTAAGGAATAAACAAAGAGGACGGACATAAGACTCCATCCTTTCCATATATGTATCTAACGTGGATCATAAACAATTCGTTAAATTCTGTGAATTTCAACCACACTTGACTTAGTGTGCATCCTGTGCAGGAGCTTATACTATTCATATAATGATGCATGGGTAATTCTAAGTACTCAATATTTCATAATCTCATTTTCATGGGGAAATATGTGTGGTTGCCTTCAATAGCCTCATTGCATGACTTAACTCCGGTCTGGTCTAGCATCTGATAACGTCTATACGGAAACAGCAGACACACGACTTCAGATAAAACGATACTTCAAACTAACAGATGAATTTATGATACATGTACGTGTAAATTAACAGCCTAATGGACGCACTGTAAAAACCCAATAGATACCCTGACAGATACTCTGAAACCCCCAGGGGGGACATGGGTGGTAAAATAGTGTCCTGAAGTGCTTGGAGTGCAGTCAGGAGGTGTTATTTATCTAGTGCCTGCCATGCTTCATTAGACACAATGCTTCAAAACCTACAAAGAATGTTTGGTGGCGAGCCAGAGCATGTCAAATTGTCAGATAGCAGAGGAAAAAAGTGTCCTGGTTTTCCTGCATTAGGAGGGTCTTTATTATCCAAAGCCTCATTATCACAAAATGTGCAAAGTCCTTGGTCAGTGTCGGCCTAATTACCTGTTTTCATTACAATCTCAATGATGCCCGACTGTCGCTATTCTAATTCATTTCAATGACTATTGTGTTATTTGTTGTGGTGCGTCCTGTCTTCCCCTCGTAAATCTGCTTCCCAGAGGCAGTAAACACGTTCACGTTCAACGCTCTTGTTCTGTCTCTGCTCAATAAAGTCAAAGACGGTGAAACACAACAGGCCATTCTGAATCAAGGTCACTGTGAACCCCTGCCAAACAACTACAGTGACTTACGAACCAAAACGTTCCACTCATGTAGGATCTCCGTGCTTCTAGTCAAGGTTTTCTTTGTTTTTTTAAAGTTACTGTTTAACGGACAATTTGACTGCTTTCATATCTCTGCTTCATGTGCTTAAAAATACATATATTCCAGTTTGCTCAGTGTTTCTTTCCTCTAGTGTGTCGTACAGGTGTGTGTGTATGCACACAGCAGTAAACATCGAGTTCAGGCTTTGTCGAGCACAGTCAAATAAAAGAAGGTGTGTAATGTTTAACTCACACTCAGTCATCCATCTAGAAAGAGCGGTGAAACACTGTTGTCTGTTCATGGGCCTGCAAGGGAGACAGTGTGTGACACTGTGTGTGTGTGTGTGTGTGTGTGTGTGTGTGTGTGTGTGTGTGT